GGGGAGGTGTATGGACAGAAGCACTCTTGGAAGTATTGAGGAAATTGTATGTTGTAGAGGGCAAAATTAGACTGCTCTTAGTGAATGCAGGCTCCTGCTGGCTTACTGGGATGTTGGTTGTGCTCCCGTGTATAAGTGAATTTCATTTTGTTCCATGTGCTCTGAAGTCTGAAAGCTAGGGATTTTTCTTCTTGGGTTAAACAGTAAGATGTTATGTTCCTCTCCTAGTGGGCTTGTATTTGAGAGAAGGTCTCTTTCGTCAGTATGAATGCAGCTACTTGAGAAGAGTTTGCTAGATGCTCTTTGAGTGATGCTATGTACACTCTCCTTTTGTCTTTTATCTTTTTTTAGCTTTGAAACTTGGCATAGTTTTTCTGGAAGAGATCTTTTGAAATTCAAATAACTAAAGCTTAATAAGATTAATGTATTGAATAAGATTTTTGGAGTAGTTTTCTAGTTTCTTTAAACAGTCTTGAGATTTTCGTATATACAAAATTTTTACTTTTTGATATAGAGAAGACAACAAAGTTTTGGCCTTTGAGTCAGATTTCACAATGTCTAAAACACTAATGAAATAAAAATTATCCTGAAAATATTGGTCAGCTGCAGGATTTACCATTTATAAATTACTTTATGTGGCCTGTTTGGTCTGCTTAACATGCTCATGTCACAAGTCTCAACACTTGCACTCTCAGTTGCCAGGTTTTGTGGATGACTACCTCACTAGGCTATTTCCATTGATTACTTGATAGCTTGTTCTCAGTTAAGTAGAACACATTGTACAATAATTAATTAACTCTGACCTTTTTTTTCTGTCTGCTGGGATTTCATGCTATAGTTCAGTGTCTGCATTAACGGTTGGAGGCAAAAATATTCTGGCATAATGGTTTGTCTGTAATGTTGACATTTAGTGCTGGATACTTGCAAAACATTTCATGCTGATGTAGTCACGTAGCCTATGAAATGTGAACTGTGAAACTAAACAATAATAATACAGACTAGGATGTGTTTTGGATTTCTCTTTTCTTCCTGTTTGGGTATGATACACAACAGGATCTCCTGCACAAATAGGAATTTCTCAAAGCTTATCCAAAACCTGCAGATAATTTATAATGTAAGGTATTGTATATATTAAAAATGAAAATGCTACTACTCCGTAATGACATGATTGCAAAAACTGGAATAGATGAGGTCATGTCGGACAAGTGCATTAGCAGAATAGGAAACATGATTTGCCTGTTTCCTTAGGCAGGCCTCAAAACTGCCCTGTGGTGGATGAGTGTGCTAATGGTGTCTGAGGGCTTTAATGGAAAAAGATAATTCTCAGTTAAACGTGCTTGGTTTTTGTTTGTGTATTTGGTGTGTTTTTAATTTCTAAGCTGCTGGCCTTGTCTGGTGGCTGAGTGTTGGGTTATGCAAACCATTTGCTCATGAGTGCTGTCAGTACTGCAAACTGCTAGTGGAACACCTAGGGAGTCAGAAATTTCAGGAAGTGTGTGGAGCTGGAAGTAGTGGCCTCTCTGTTTAAGTGGTTTTCTGCCTGCAACGGGGACATAAGCAAAACAGAGCATTTAGAGCATACAGTGCAGTCAGGCATGTCTGTGGCACTGCTGTTACACATTGACAAGGTGGTTTAGAGGATAGGAATTTCTTCAAAGCATCCTAATCCCAGAAAAAAGTGATTGTCAGACATCTGCCTTACAGAATAACTGCCACATTAATAAGAAGAAATAGGAGGATAATAAATATTTGGAGAACCCACAGTGGAATAAGAGTATGGAAGCTGTTCAGACTTCATGCAAGCTGTGTATTTGTCCAGACCCCATTTGAAACACTGAAAAGAAGTTCACTATCAAATGTCTAGAACTGGAAAAATCTCTCCTGACTTGGTTAGAACAGAAGTGACCTTGTAACTTGATGCCTTGCATAGGAAAGCAGGAAACCGTCATGTTCTGAATGTGCTACCATGTAAAGGCAGGTGGTTGAAAATAATATTTTTAAGGGCCAGAGCAGCAGTGGAGTGCATCACTACTGCCACACGGCTGTCTTGGACAGGGTTCCCTGGGAACTGGTACTGTTGGACCATTGCTTTTGCAATCCATCAAAAGGCAATATAGCAGACTGGCAACTATAACATCATCTGTCTGCAAGAAAGAGCCAGGAGAACAAACCTTAAAATAAAAAAGAACAAGCTGAGATTGTGTCTGCTGAATTTCATCAATAGGACCTTTAACTGTTAGAAACATTGTCAGTATTTGCAGATTTAGCTACATATTTGTAAATATTTGCACATCTATAAATTTCAATCCAATGAGAGAAGTATCTGGGAAGCTCAGGAGGAGGAGAAGAAAGTCACACAGGCTGCGTTTTGTGTAGTTAGGTGATGACACTGCCAGTACACCTCCAGCAGTTCTCAGGGTCATGCTCTGAAATAGCTGAGGGGTGATGAGGAAAGTTCAGTGAGAGGATGCCAGTGAGGTGGCTTAGGGCAGAGGAGTAGGCAATGCAAAATGACTTACTTGCAGAACAAATCCAAGCTGAGATAGAAGCTCTTTATGATGGTGTTTGCAAGTGAAAACCTGGACCAGGATGTTAAAGATGGGAACGCACTCACACTGAAAGCAGGCATAAATTACGAAACAAACTCTTACTAAAGGGCCTGCTACTTACTACTCCTCATTTATCTTTGTTACATACTATTGAAGCAGTGCTACAGTTAATGGTATCAAAAAAGGACTGAGATGCGTGCAGGTTGACTTGGAGCATGAAAATATGGGATGTACATGGACAAACAGAGACAAAACATAAATGAACATATTGTCTTCAGCAGTCACAGCCCAGTTTCAAAATGGGGGCTGAAAGGAATCTAAGAATGAACTGTCCAAGAGAAAAGCTTGCACATGCTTGCGTGTAGTTGAAATTAATAAAACTACTCATGTGAACAGGTCTTTGCTGGAGCAAAAGGGGAAGTTGCAACAGAGCTCTGAAGGAGAAAGGTTGGTCAGTTGCAGAGCAGGAATAAAAAAAAAAAAATCAAAAGTAGAAGTGAGCTGACAGGAATGTACTAGGAAATCCATCTGTGCTTGTCTGTGCGTTTTATTTTTCTTCTCCCCAGCATAAAGCAGCTTGACAGATACAGTCAGCTGATCCTTGCAAACTCCACTGCAGCAGACACAGGTGAATATAGCTGCTGGCTTCAGCTGTGCAATGGTGACAAATGCAGGAAGGATGAGGCTAAAACAGGTTCAACATACATCTTTTTCACAGGTAATTAACTCACTGGGGGATTATTAATGGAAATATATTCACTAATAAGACAGGAATAAAGCTACATCAGCGATTTCACTGTCAAGATTTTTCTTCCACAATTTTTGTCTTTTAGTGGATGTTAAGGAATACAGTGTTAGTGAGCAGAAAGTTACTTGTGATTTATGAGTCCATTTTCCCTGTGGATTATGCTAAATGTGTACTGAAAATAATGCATAATGCAATGGAAAGCAAATACCTTTGAAAATATACTAACACACGTTCTGAGGATCTTCTACAAAATGAATAAAAAATGTTTCGTTTTTGAAAATGTGTCTGGATAAAGAAAATAAATCTGTGCAGAAGATAAATTTTGTCATGGCAATTGGATAACCATGTGGACTCTCTTCCCCACCTCCCACCCCCATCACCTTCCAGTTACCTGCACTGACTTGAAAATCTTGACCTCATTGATCCCTGGTAAGGCCACAATTTCTCACAAGAGTCCCAACATGCTATATAGCATGTTGAGAGGCAAAACACTCTTAAGTACTTGTGTTGTCCCGCAGAACTTGAGGCTGACTGTAGCCCTAACACTGCATGGACAGGGTCATAGCAGATAACTGTGCACAGTTTACTACTTGGTACAACAGAGCTGAAATCAAATGGTTTTCATGTTCTTCTCATGGAAAACATTCTGAATGCAAAACAACCTTTGCTGCCTGATTAGAGCTAAAGCATTCTTGGCTAGCTAATATTGCAGTACAAAATGCTAAGATAGGATTCTTTGCAATGTGTTTTGGAGCTAAGTTAGACCATGAGATTGTGCAGAAGCCATTTGTCAGATGTGCTTAATGTTCTGAGGATACGTTCCTTTAGAAAGATTGGAATAAGCTTTTCAGTCAAGTTATTGTGTAAATGCTGGAAAGATGAATTTCAGCTTTATATTTCTAGGTAGCATGCCAAATATGGAAATACTTTTTAACTGTCATTCTAAAAACAGTAAATATTTCAGCTGCTTATGGCAGTAAATCAAACATTTTGCCTAAAATCATATGTATAAAAAGACTGTAGCTCCAAAGAATATCTCTTTCTAGTAGTGCTTACCAGTGATGTTGGATTTTTTAATGTGTGTTACACTTTAAAAGTGGGCAAATCAATGGAATTATATCCAGATGAGTATTTGGAAACTTATTAAAAATTAATTCCAAAGATTTTCCTAAGATTAAAAAAATCTGATTACACTGAAGAATACTTTTTCTTTTTGATTTAATGTTTTTAATGCAAGCTATGTAAATATAACTCGCGGATGAGAGAAGTTTTTTTTCTTTTGTATATGCATATTTAAAGCAAAAAGCTTTGGGTTAATTTTTAATGTTGCTCATAGCTATTTTCTCTTGTTATATGTACTTTCTCTTCTTTTTGTTAAACCAAGATGTAAATATTATTCTAACTATATAAACTCTTCTGCGCAGACAAAGAGGAACTTTTTGTACCTACGCCCAGTTATTTTGAGATGGTCTACCTGAACCCAGGTAAACCCGCAGTCATCCCATGCCGTGTTACTACTCCTTCAGCAAAAGTAACTCTACACAGGGAATTTCCAGCAGAAGAAATTGAAACAGATGGAACTGATATTATTTATGATGTGAAGAAGGGTTTTGTCTACCAGCACCCTACTTCTGATCATAAAGGTATTGTCTACTGCAAAGCAGAGTTACAGGGAGCACCTCAGATTTCCATCAAGTATCACCTGCTGTATGTGGAAGGTAGGGTGCAGTTTTCTCTATGCTTACACTGACTCTTGTTTCTTCTGCTGACATTGTTTTGGAAACAATTTTTTAAAAAATAATTTTTAAAATAGGTAATGTAATCAGAGTTTTAAAATCTTTTATCAAAAGTGTATGTGATAAAACTTTTTAAATTTCAGCAATTTCCTGGTGTTCCTACCACTTGTGTTAAGCAAACAAAAATTTACTCTAATGTTTTATCAGTGTATTTAACTTTAGAAAATAATTTTCTGCTTCCAAACACTGCTTTTTTTTTTTTTTTTTTTTTTAATCAGTTCCCAAGGGTCCACCCTCAACCACAATTGAAGCGTCATCCAATAGAGCAGAAGTCAGTGACAGTGTTCACATAATCTGCACAGCCCTTGGGGAGCCAGATGTAGATGTGAACTTCAGGTGGCAGTACCCAGGGCAAGAGGTAAGAGATACATACTTTGGCTGAAATAGTTTCTTCTTCATAAAGGCAATACTTTGAATGGCAGTTAGCATCTAGATTTGGAGTAAAGATTCTTTCAAATTGTGGTGTCTGCCTCTTGCTAGCTCAGGCATGCTGGCAGGAGGAGGCAGCACATCCCTTTTGAATTTCAGCCCATCTTTCCCCGAGAGCCTAGAAGTAGCACAGAAAAGAGGCTAGAGAGCTCTACCCACGTTAGCAAAAATCAAGCTTAGCAAAGCACGTTCCTCCCTTGGGGTTCCATTCCGGAGACACTTGGCCTCTGGCAGCATTTACAAAGAAAAGCCTCAGACGGGTCAAAGCCAGCCAGTGTCAGGAAGCTGTTCTAGGGCAAGCCACGAAGCCTCGGCATTTGATATCCTTTCCATCTCTATGGCTCAGGCACATAAATCATCACCGTACAGAATCTTTAAGCTGAATTGTTGCCCTCATCCAAAAGCACGGAGGTCTGCTTCTACCCAGCCTGATCTCTACTGCTGCTTATCCTAAGCAGGCTAGGAGCACAGGAAGGACTGCTGGAAGATGCAACCCTTCATCAGAGGAAAGAAGTCCTCTAGGACCTGAGTGTTTGCATTGTATTTATATCTAAAAAGCATCTTTCTAAGCATCCCTGTTTGTATTTTTGGCTTTGAAGTTATGTACACATTTTGGAAAGCATAGTGTGAAGATGAATTTAGAAGCATTTGTGAATTGTTACTGTTTGCTTGTATGTTATGTAATACAGTTTCTGAAACTAGAGGAGGAGGAATTAGTTTGCAACACAAGATTTAAGCTATTCTCCGTGCTAAAAGAGAACGAGGCAAATCTTGGTCGCCTAATTCATGCCACTGCTGCCTTTGTTTTTGATACATGCTGGAAGTCTGAAAATAAGGTCACACATCTATCCTAACATCTCCCCCAAAACACCTCACCTATTTGATCAAGTACCCAAATGTAAACGTAGTAAGTGGACCACAACTGCAGTTGCATTCATTCACAGACTCCAGGTGAAGCTTTGGCAGCCCATTACTAATCTGAAGATAGACAGTACCGGCCCTTATAGTGGAAGAGCCATCATATTATCCTTATTTGGCATAACTTATTGGTATATCAATATTTAATACAGGAATATTGCTGCAACTGTCAAACACTTTCAGATGACTTTCAGATATAGGCTTCTACTCTCTGTCCTCTTGCTTCAGGGTAATATCACTAAATATACTTTGCAGAATCATGTATATGTGGGTGTGGTTTTTTTCTTTTAAACAGTTTGAGAGGCCTGTGATTTTCCAAAACTTCTGGAGACTGATAAACAGAGGAACTGGACATACCACAAGAATCTCAAAAAGTGTTATTGTTATTGAGGATTTTGAAGCCAGAGATGCTGGAAACTACATTTGTATAGCTCAGAACCTAGAAGGAGAAACAACAGTCGCTACTAAAGTTGAACTAAATTGAGAGGAAAGGCTTCTAGACACAGAATGAACTGTATGTTATCTGACATTTTAGCCATTTAGTTTCTTTATTAACATTTAAATGAAGTTTTGTCTGTCACTGTCTCTTTTCATAGGTCAATGCATTCCGTATTCACTAGCTTGACAGGCCAAAACAGAGTTTCCTATGCCTGGCAGTAGTCAGTTGTGAGGTAAAACTACTATGAAGTATTAAAGTTAAAGCCTGAACAGGCACAGGGCTTATATTTAGGAACAGGAGCTCTCGGGCTTTCCTTTGCATATGGTCTTCCTCAAACTCTTTCATAAATTAACCCATTGTATGGTTTGTGCCTCTTTTGTGTATGTGAGAACTGAGAGGATATTAAATATCCTCAAAATCCACCAATGCAGCTATATATCCTCTGGTGCTGTGCAACTTTAGAATACTGTACATGTTTAAAACAAAAGAAAAAAAACTTGTTATGGAATTAGCCAATAGAAATGTTTATTTTCCAATAATAATTAAATTTCTGAACATTATAAAAACCTAAATGCATCTGTGCATATATGTGTGTGTGTGTGTGTGTTCATTTCATATATGTGTAAAGACTAAACACACAAATAAAATTCTCACATCTGGGAAGATTAGCATTAAGTATATATTAAGGTACTAGAGGGGATCTCCAGAGATTTTTAAGTGTTTGGATATGTTGGATTTTCCTTAAGTTGTTGCATTCTTACTACCTTATAATGTGTAGCTTGCTTAGAGTTGACTCCTCATTAGATGTATGCTGTTATGTTTGCTAAAGGTAAAACTTACATTTATTTATATAGTAACATTTACAGAGGAAAAAAACCCCAAATTTGACATGATTAGAATAACGTTTGATTATATGGCAGAATCTCTTGTCAGGTTAATCAAGTTCAACGTGATTGCATTAATTTACTTAGGAGAAAAGGAAGGCTGTTTTGTTTACACAGAACTATACCTGGATAAATAAGCAACTGCTTCTCTCATTCTTGATTTAGTTACCAATAGAAGGAAAGAGTCTTTCCAGAGAAAAGGTAAGAACTTGATGAAAAGGTAAGAACTTGATAACAGTGTTGTCAGACATCTTGGCAATGTTTTTTCTTCCTAGGCTCAAGCACAGAATCCATGTAAGCTAGAACTTCCAATGCAAATCTACTCAGTAGTGTAATTGTGTGACAAAAGGTCTTGCTGCAAGTAATTTTATTTATAAGGCATGTGAACAGCTTATTCTGAGCATACAAGGAACCAAACCAGGAATGTGTCCCTTGCTTGCACACTTAAATGTGTCTCAGCCTGTGTTTGACTAGAATTCCTAAAGCTTCTGGTGAAGGCTTGAAATAAGCCCTTTGCTCCAGATAATTCAGACCTTTGAGCAAATGTGTACAGTACTGTTTTGAGTAGTGATATCAAGTAAGTATTAATGTAAAAATGGCAGCTTCTAAATAACATCATTAATTTGATTATTAGTGTAGCTAATGAAAGCATTAAACAAGTTTGTTTAAAGTTGTTTCTTCAGCCTGCAGGAACCTAAACCAATGTAACTGATGTGATAAATATCCATGATAAAGACTGAAATGGCTGTGCATGTTTCATGAAAGAGTTTTCATGGAGAACACTCCCCACATGCCTATATTTCCAGAGGCCAAGACTAAGGTAGCTACCAAAAAAAAAATATTACATATAGCAAGCAGTAGGACCACCTTGGAATGTGTAAGGGGCAATCCCTTGTTAATCATCTTCCTTATTTCTATTAAAAGGTATCAAGGACATTACATTGTTACACAAATTACTGAATAGGTGTTACACAATTTCACAGTATACCAAAACCAAGGTCCTTTGTACCATCTTTCTTTAGGTAAGACTTTCATCTGGCTAAAGTAACTTTAACAGTCCCTGAAGTTCTGGATGAAGCTCTGCAATGTGTTCATTTCTCTTTAGCATTTTCATTTATCACAACAATGTATTTCCCTTTGAACTACAGGAGCTGTGGCAACTTCTTAATTTTCAAAGTGCTTTTGAGCTTTTAATTCAACAATTGATTTCTTTTAAAATACCTAGCATGTGGGAGATCGCATCACCTGTTCAGACTTGTACAACAGCACAACTCTTTTTGTGGTAGCATCAATTCCTCAGTCACAGTTTGGCAGGAGAGGAAAAGACGATGTGAATCCATGGCTACATCATTGCTTGAGGAGTCTCCCTCAGGTTTAATGGTTATGTGTACAGATCACATGCAGTTATCAAGACTGACTATAACTACAGAAGCAGTGCCTGTAAGGAATAATTTTTGGTGGTTTGTTGTTTGTTTTGTGGTTTTTTTTTTTCCCCCCGCAAACATCAAAATAATTGATACCATTGTAAACTACAAGAACTATTTTACTATATATTTTACATAGTTCTTATTTTACCAAAAGCCTCGGGGGCAGGCCTGCTTCTTTTTACATTTATGCAGAAATGTGTAATTGCATCAATGAACAGTGACACAGGGTAAGAGAATGAAGCCCAGGAAATGAAATTTAAGTGACTTGTCGAAGTCACATGCCTAAACCTGACAGTATTACTATTTCTATTTGCATACCTCGGTCACTGCTAAGGCAAGGCAGCAGCAATGGGCAGAAGGTGTTTCTTTAGAGTTCAGTGATTATTCCAACTTTCTGCTAACCTTTTTAACTCCAGCTCAGTCCTAAATGATTTCCTGGTTGTTGGGCAACTACAGTTTCAAACATCAGTGGTTACTTACTGTCTCGAAGGAATTTCTTGCATTAATTGCATGATACTATGATTCTATATGAGTTTACATGCAAGTGTCTTGGATATTTGTAATGAGAAACCTTAAGTCTTCAGTTAGTGTAAGGAAATGATTCACCTCAAAATTCTACAGCAAATACAGTGCAACTCATATAAAGACCTCTAGGGAAAAGTAGTGAAGTGAGGTGAACCATGTTATGAACAGTTTGAATAGCAACAAACTATTTGGTATAGATACGTCACTGTAACTTAGTATTAGAGTTGGAACTACTAGTTAAGGTTGAGTATCTGAAGAAAATAATTTGTTTAATTGCTTGACTAGCACTAGACCTTTGGAATATATTTATGATCAGCAGATTTCTACCTTTTCCTGAAGGAAAGTTTATGCTAAATTACAGAAAAAAAAAAAAAAGTCAGTGAATTGAATGATGCCCTTGCCAACATATGGAATTAAAGTTAAAGCTGGAACCATTAATACTCAGTTAAATGAAGAAAAATATTAAAACAGTGCTTACAGATGAACAGAATTATTTAATTCTTTCAGACCAACAGGACAAACACTAAACAGGTATTTCTGTAGTCTGAATTCTATACACAAGGATTTCTCATTTCTTTTTAACAGCATTAAAGAGTCTATTTGCAAGAAGTTTAGAGGTGAGGAGGCTCCCAGACTGTGGAGGGAAAGTATGGATAAATCAAGTCTTTGTATTATTTACTATACTATACTTACTCTTCTGTAATGGTAGCCTGGAAAAGCACTGCCCTTCTCTGTTATACAAGGGGGTAATGCTATTTGATCTTCAGACATTTATATGCACTCTTCTTGCCTGTTTTATTTGTGGCACTAACATTGCAGCTAAGACAAAGTTCTTACCAGTGCTAGATGACTGTACTTGTGACATGACCTGTTTAAGATTGCTAAACAATACATGGCTTTTCTTAAACAAAAAAAATTCCTAAGGTGAGCATTTTAATAAGCTGAGTCCTTTAGGATGCATATACCTTATAACTGCATATACCTTATATTAAGCCAACTGTACTCAAGTATTTTATTATTTATTAATTCTGTAATGTTATCTCCATTTTTTTTTTTAACAGCCATCTCAAACTGAATCACTAATAATCATAAGCAAGCTCTGTGTAACTTCTGCCTACATTAGAGTAGCAAGGGTAGGGTTAATTTGTGCAGTGAAGCTTCACCATTGCTGTTCTGCTGTGCTGTACAGGTACTAAGAGTTTTCAGTATTTGGAGGAATGTTCCTCTTTAGATTAAAGATCATTTGACTAATACAACCAAGAGGAAAAAAACTTCAGTTAGTAAAAAAATTTATTTTTTAAGCATTCAGCTCAAATACATGTGATCAAATCTCTTTGACCATAGAAAATAAGAATGTTCTGAGATACACTTCAAGACAAGTTTTAGCCCACAAAGAATTTTTATAGTTAGACTTGAAACCCATAGAAAACAGTTTAAGTACTGACACCACCAACAGTGGCCCTTAAGAGGATTAAAAGAGAGCATAAATGTTCCATAGAAAGGGCACCCTTAACTTGTACATTGTGGAAAATTAAGTCAATTTAATGATGAAATAGTCAATCACAAGTTTATTACAAGTTTACTTACTGTATGAGCACTGTTAACAGTCTTGTTTATATGTCTGTATTCCTCATCACTAGCCAAGATTTTTCAAGTCTTGGGTAAAGTGGTTTGAAGTGGTTCTTCTGCTGAGCTCCCTAAATACTTCCCCATCCACTTCATTCCTGTCCTCAAGCTACTGAAAAGCACAGGGAAACTCAGTAGATATAACTTACCATAACAGTCACTGTATAACCAGCTAACATAATCAGCTAAACCATCGTATAACAATGGTTCGGGAAGTTGTACTGTAAAACCCAAGCTCTTGTAAGCATAGATGGTGTTTTGTAATGCTAATTTGAAGTTGAACCTATGTTTAGTAGACAGCATGTAGATGTCTTAAACAGGTCTGACCAAGGGTGTAGCAAGGCTAGGTGATTACCTTGCTGAAGCTCAGCATATGACATTTCCAGAAACACTGATGCCCTCCACCTCTGGTTCCAGCAGCCAGGAAAATTTTCCTCTCCCTACTCGAGCAAATTACTTGTACAGGATCTTTTGCCAAGTGAACTGGCAAAACACCAATATCCTGCAGTCTAAGAGGGAACGCATGGCAGAATTAGCAAGATAAATTCACATCTACCACCCTCCTCCTTTTCCTCAGGTGAATCTAGCCCACCCTGAAGAATGTTAATACAAATGCTAATGCTTAAAAAGGCAAAGTCTGGCACCAGATACACTGGAATTCACAAGTTACTTAAGATTCTTTTTGAGAACCAAGTTAAGAATACACCTAATGACAATTATTGCTTTTTTCTCTTTCTTTGGCTTTCAAATCTACATGTAGCAACGGACACGCTGTTTTGGGGAAATAAGCAATTCCTTTTCAGCAGGTAAGATGATAGGTCTGGGTTTCTAAACCTGCAACTCGGCTAATAACTTCTGACCTTGAGGGCTGCTGTGGTTCTGACTATGACCCTGTTTGACTTGAAAGCCAAAATCCACTGTATCCTGCAAAAAAAAAAAAGTCTCCTCATAAATGGCAGAATTGTGCATGGACATTAAACCAAGAATCCATGCAAAATATGGCTGCAGTTCAGTTTGGTTTTCAGATTAATTCAAGGTTTCGTACTTGGGTCAGCCAAGACACTAATGACTCAGTTGACAAAGCTTTTCATGCCATTTTTTTACTGAACTGAAGCCAGAAAGATGAAGAAAACTAACCCATAGTACTACTGGCAGTTTCTCCTTGCTCCTGGGGCAGGGTACTCTTTGCTAAAAGCATGCATACTGACACCATTATTAAGGAAGTACATGTCAATGTATGGTCTTCAGCTTTTGTCCTTTATTACATACGCAGCAAAGAAGGCAGCATTAGACACACGCACAGTGTGTTGCATCCATTCCATCCACAGCACACACATACACACAGCCTTAAAAAAAGTGTCTGTGATAAGGAACATATTATAAAGGTTGTGTTCTTTATCTCTAAGCCCCTGAGCTTTTTCTTATAGTTCGGTGAAAAGGCAATGAACAAGTCTTTCCTTGCTCTGTAAGTGCTTTGTGCAACAATGTCCATAGAGGTCATAAGCAAGTCTTTTTTGGGAGGAGCAACATGAAAGTCTTACTCCCATATTCTCAGTCTCATATCACTATTTTTGCACCAGATAGTTTCCAGTTATGTTTAGTTGTCATAGTCAGCTAATATAGCTCTTGTTCCTGTGATTAAAGTTGGGATTGGTTCTGCAGATCACATGAAATGCAATCCCCTCTTTTTCTCAAGAGATGTCATCTTGGTGATACTGTAGGGCTGGAGAAGTTACCAGAATTTCGTGGGGACTGAAGAGGCACAGATGGAGAACTGGGAGACAGTTTCCTTGGGCTGCATAGGTCACCATTGTGCAACTTCCAGAGAAGTTCTTCATTTTCCATTGACAGGCGTTTGTTTACTTTTGATTCTTTCTCTAGTGACTCCTGTAGAACGGCTTGCTCTGTAGAAAGTTGCCTGCAAACATAAGATTTACATTAGAACACATAACCCAAGTTGGAGGCTATACTGAACTTAATTGTTAAAGGTTTGAAATTGCCTAAACCCCTGCTCTTGGCTTACAAGTAAATTACTTCCTTAAAATTATAATTTAGTATGTTCTCATCCGTGCTGGATTTAAACAGGTAGCTTGCAGAAAGCAGGAAAAAATACCAACAAGAAACATTCCTAAGGGCCAGAAAAAGCATGTGAAAAGTGAGACTTGTCCTACTGACAGTAACAGATCCTTTAAATGGCCATGCTGGAGGCTTTGGGTCATGTTGCAGACTCAGCTCTATCTACATAGAAGCTGCATTTCTTTAGTTTCTTTCAAACTGTTAAGAGTTTGTCCATCCATTTAAGCAATAACTGAAGTCAGGAGAACCTCAGACCCACTTTATTAATGTTAAATATTACTATTATTACTAAATAAAACACATTGGTCTTTTCACTAAGTTGGGGACAAATCACTCAACTGAAGTGGTTATAAGTAAAACCAGGTTTAGCTCACAAACCAGTAATACTTAAAGAGACAGTCTGTAAGAAGATGATATTTGTGAGTTGCTTTTCCTTCTCTGACTGAAGAACATACTGAACCTTTACCCCGTTACAATCAGTTGGGGACAAATCACTCAACTGAAGTGGTTATAAGTAAAACCAGGTTTAGCTCACAAGCCAGTAATACTTAAAGAGACAGTCTGTAAGAAGATGATATTTGTGAGTTGCTTTTCCTTCCCTGAAATATTGTTTCAGAGCACTGAAGAACATACTGAACCTTTACCCTGTTACAATCTGTTCCTGCTTGTTCTTCTACCCAGGAATGCACATTTGTAGAGACAAAAGCGGGGAAGAAAGGGGTGTGTTCTTTTACAAAGTACTACAAAATCCTAGTCACTAACAGTACACATAATTTTCTCTCTCGTCACAGGAACACCTTCTCCTGGTTCATATGAACATCTTAGAAGCCCAGAGATATTTTTCACCTTGAAAGCTCCACATGTTTGTCCATCCGAGCTTTTAATTCTTCATTTTCTTGCTGAACCTTCTTTAATTTATCCATTAAGATTGTGTTGTTCTCCAGCTTAGGAAAAAAAAAAATAATCACAGTTTAAAGTAAAACCCATACACCACTCATCAAGATACAGACTGAGCTATCACTGAAGTTCATAATTTGGAGTTTGCAGACCTTGTTACAGTAAGTGCAAAAACCTAGAGTAATGTCAGACTGAGCTGCTATCAAGGCTTAATATTCTGTAACAGTCAAATACATCCTACTTGCTTTATCTTTGCATAACACTGGCATTTTGCCACTGGTGCTGATTAGATGCCAACAAGGGAGGACTGGAAAAGGCATCTACTAGTTAGCCAGCACGTCCTAATAACTTCTGCCAGTGACGGGCAGCAGTTTTAGAAGCTGTTGCAGTCAGAAGACTATCTAGAAATAGCATGCTGATGTGACAAATTCAAGAGCTCCCCTGCTTAAACAGCTCTCCCTGCTGCTCTCCTGATTCCACTGCATTGCTGCAGGATGTTATTAAAAGTTAAGGGAAAAACTGTGATTACAAACGGTTGCACGGTCCAAGGGCTTCTATATTTTGGCCAACATCTGTCAGAAAAGATGAAGGTTCACTAGTAATTTACTAGTAATTGTAGACCAGGGCAACATAAGATGCTGTACAATTCTGAACTGACATGAATGTATTCCTTTGTATCCAAACCGCTTTCTATACTTCTTCATTGAAATCTTGCTTAAGGAAGTAGTACAAGAGTGTTCCAAGGCCCCACCCAGGATAAGGACCCTATCCTGCCACAAATAAGAACATGCTAAGTAATTACAAGCTGTGCCCCCAAAATTGCCTTTTCATGTGGAATTATGCATGGATCAGGAGCAAATCCACACAGCTAAACAAGTAGCTTAAAGGTAAGAGCTAAAGTGTTTCATCTAAGCTAATCAACTCTAGATGAAAACATTAATGCCATTTCATATTTGACCACTTCTTGCTTAATTAAGATAATTTCCATATTAAATGTTTTCCTGACAGTGCAATCTATCTTCCTTAACACTTGCACAAATATGAGCAGGTAAGGATTCTTTCTTTAGGGGATAAGGAGAAGGGAGGGATGAGAAGAGGAAATGTGGAAGAGGCTCCCAGATGACCCTGTACTAATTTAGCTACGGTTTATGCAAACCAGTAGTTATCTTAAGAGGTTAAAATGTCATTTACAGCATCTGGTAATTCCTTCCCTGTTTTTATATTACACCCCAATGCCGATACAATTGTACCATTGTATCATTTCCTTTTAAACAACAAAAAAATTAATCCTCACATGTAAGTCTGACCAGCCTGAACTCATTACCAGAACGTAACTCAGAGACATGGCCCGGAACTGACACATCCCAAGGAAAACTCACCAGTTTTTCCATCTTCATTAGCTTTATATCCTGCTGATGGAGTTTCTCATTCTTGATCTCCAGCACTGCTTTCAAACTTTCCAGCTCCTGTTCCAGATACATGATCTGCGGGTTTTTCTGAAAGATTTCCACAGAGCTTGCTTAGTACCCTCAATTTCAGGAACAATGTAAGTGTTTCTCTGAGATTTAGGAAGAGCAAGAAAATAAAGATGGTAACTACTATTACTTTTTCTAAGTGAAATCAAGCCAAACAGTTGAGGGAAAAAAAAAAAAAAATCTGCTACCACTTTCTCCTCTGATTTTGTTTGTCCTTCCATGTAGGTGGACAGTTGCAGTTTTCCTTAGAAGGCATTCAGAAAAAGCTTTATGCACAAACGTGAAAAACCTTTGTGAGTCAAAGGCAGGCACCAAAGCTAACACAGCAAAACTTGTTTTGCAGGAGTGCCCAAAGGCTCCCTTTAAGGCTAGGAGTTCCAACATTTATTTCATATTACTAATAACCCATCCCAAGAGATAATTAAAGTAAATATGTGAAGAGTTTTCAGATGCTGGAGTAGTTCAAAAAGCACCAGAAATGTACAGCTATGAACTTGACTGTAGCTGATTTTCCCTGTTCTGAGTTTGAAGGTAGCTGGTTCATAAGCAGAAATTGAAAATTTTTGTTTTTACATTCTTCTTAAAGCCTAGCAATGCAATTGCACACAAAAATCTCACGCTGCTGTACATCCATGATTTATCTACAATACAGCAAGTATTTTTTCTTTTTCCTTTTTTTGTTGTTTTCCAGGAGGTGGAGGGGAGAGCAGGAAGGGGACAGGGCAGGGCCAGATCTGGTTTCCTCAAGGACCTCTTTTCCAGAGTAAGGAACCACTCAAACACTGCAGAGTAAAACATATTCTCCACCTTTCAAAGGCAAAGTCACAGGATAAAATAAGGAGAAATAAAGCAAGTCTCAGTCCGTTTCCAGGCAGGCCAAGTGGAACAGAAATCAATGAATGATTGTGTTGTGTAGCTACGTTTGTCTTTAAAACCAAACAAAAATTCTTGTAGCATATTTGGGCAAGAATACAGGTGTACTGTGTTGAGCAACAGCCTCACTGCCACATCTGAAACCCAGGACTCAGAGGGCAACTCCTGCAGTTTTGTGGGGCGCAGTCCCACAAGGACAGAGCCAGGACATTTTCACAGGTAACAAGGGCCTCATCACCTACCCATTTCATTCTCCTGCCTGTTTTTAAGGACTGTAGCATTAGTGGTTCTTGTTTCATTTTTACTTTTGAACAGAAGTCCACATGAGGATGGGGTGGGGTGTGCTGCCTCAGAGGAGGTGGCAGACAATTTGAACTTCATTCCTCCCTTTTGTAGCTTTCCATGGAATCTAGGAGCTAGTGAGGAAAGTGATCCTGAAAAGTTTAAAGGCAGCTTACCATATGTTCAAAATTTAATTTTTTTTCTTTCCCTCCTCTGCCCCAATGGCCTTAAAATGTCTTTTAAAAGTTAAATCTGAGCCACCACAGTAGCTACTCATAATAGAACACAGAGCCAGATAAAAAGACTGAAAGACCTACTTAAGATTTTAACAAAAAAGCTGGTAATATCAAGTGACACTACCTAAATAATACTGGAGAGTTGGAAATACACCTCTGTCTTCAAAGGGCATTCTGATAGTGCAGAGTTTGCGTTTAGTACAGAAGAACATACTGGGTCAAATCAGTATTTTTTCCATAGAGAAGCTTCAAGCTTATGATGCGTCTTATGCTGTCAGGATGCAAAGTGCATTTGCAGCTATGTAAAGGCATTTGACTATTGCTCCTTTAAATAAAACACCTGAGCATGCCTCTGGAATACAGTTCAAACTCCCAAGTGCAGTGTACAACGTGTTCCCTTTGGTATCTCCCAACCACAGCAATGTACTGGGGTTGCAGATGCTTCCTGCAGCAACTCTGTCCTCCCACTGAAATAAGCAGTAAGAGATAAAAAAATAAATTCCAGTGAAAACCAGGGCAACTTCTGCTAGAAGCATCCTAAGTGGGATTTTAAGCATGAAATTTCTCTTTGTGGGATAAGCAATACTACTGGTATTCCAGTAATTTCCAGGTAACCAGGATTGTGTCTATCCCTCCCGATGCACGAAAACCCTCTCTCAGAGCACATTTCTAACCCAGGAGCATCACAGGTAACAGCAGCCTTGGGAGGAAAGGCAGGACAAAATAAAACTTTACCTGAAGGATAAATCAGCAACAAATATGAATCAATGTTTGAATTAATGCATTAAAGACTCAAATACAAGGCGGAAGTTTTGTCGTTAAGCCCACACTGATCATAGCACCATCAGAACATTTACTGACTGTCCAGAAGGCAGTTAAGGTACAACTTTTGCATACACATAGGTCTTCCATTTAAGTTAGGCTATAACTTACACCACTGACTTAGACATGCAACAGCTGTATAGATTTATAATGGTAAGGTTAATACACAACATTTGCAGATTGAGAAAAACATCTGTCAGGCAAGCCATTTACATAAAATATTAATAAGTATGGGACCCCTATCCAGGCTTGACTGCAAACCTTTCATATTATGCAACAAAATAAACCCAGGCTTACAAGATCTGCTCATCTGCATTACTTTTGAAGATCAAGACTTACAAGGTTGGCTTTTTCTTTGGCTATTTGTTTTTGCTCTTCTAATTTCAACTTCTCACTCAGAGAGTCATTTTCACATTTCAATTCATCAATCTTTTTCTGAAATGAAAAGATACAGTATAGTTAGGCCAAGAATTCAGTGCACGTCTCCAAACTGCCTTTTAAGTTTTAGACTGTTGCAATGACTCCAACCCTCAACAAACCTCTAGTAATTCCTGCTTCTCTTTAAAGGAATCTTCAAGCGACTTCCTTTCAGATTCATGGGCACTCTTGAGTTCTGCAACAAATCATTTTTGCAGATTTTTAGTACCGCTTAAGAAATGAAAATTCTTTTTGAAAAGTCAAAGCATGAAAAGCTAGCCAATACACATATGCAGATATGCAGTCAACGACAACATGGAAAGAACACCATCACTGATCCAAAACGTGTACAAAGTATCAGATTTATTGCTGCTTCAGCTTTGTTGACTGCCACCTTGCATATCCATTGCATTAGTTGATAGTGTGTCAATTTTGAAAGCTTTCATCTACATGCAACAAATGGATGAATTGAGCACAAAAGCCACATCTGACAAAAGCTGATTTTCTGATGATGAGCAGCAAAAACTCAAATTGTGCCTTCCAAAAACTTCTAGAAAAACATTTGCTTTGTACTTCAGAGATGCCACACAGAGAAGTTTGCTCTTTGCAGTGGAAGCGTCACCGGTTTTAATAAGACGATAATTATCACTGGAAACTTGGCTATCATGTGGACTTGGAGGGAGGATGGAAATCATCACTTAAATCAATTGGATGCAATGCCATTTAAAACTGAGCGTGCTTCCCACCCCCTCCCTGAAAAACAACCTTTGCCCCACTATACTGTAAGCTGTGAGTAATATTTCTCAACTTTCCCATGTCACTCTGGAAAGCGCACAACCCTGCTTATCCTCCATTTCAATTTTGAGGTGCTCCTTATACAACTAGGGGGGTGGGAGCAGTAACGCATTAACTTGAGATTTTTCAGGGCAGACTGCAATTCAGACATCTGGAAGAAAAATTGTCTCCACTCTTAAACTGTTTTATGAGTTTCATTTGGGGATCAGTTATTTCTGTATGTAAAATGAGACTTGTTCAGTTCTAAACCAGGGAATTCAGCCAACATTTTTAAAGATAGCTGACCGCCAAGAACAGGGAAGTAGACAAACTGATGAAAAAGCTTGAATATTTTTGTTTGTGAATAGCAGCACTGCAGCATATGTACTTGAATACAATATACTTGCCTGAAAAAGAGGATTCATACTCCTTTTTCAGCTCCTCTACTTTTTCTGAGTGGCTGTTTTCAAGTTCCAACTTAAAGTTTTCATGTGTGATATTTAAGTTGTCCACCTGCAATATGACAACATGATTTTTCCCTCCCCCTTACATGTGTCAGTTTAATCCTTGTTTAAAGTATTGTTCCAATGGCTTTATGCAGTACATGGAATATGTTTTAAATGGTCTAGGTACCACTTAACAGATGGTCACAGGAGAAGCTAAGCCACATACAACACTTAATAGCTGAGAACAACGCCTTCCAGTTTACCACTACCAACAGGCTGATGTATGCATCTTGTCACACACATGGAGTTGTTGCAAAGCAAAGTCACAGGCTAGGTGTGTTTCTCTAAATCTTAAAACTCGAGCTGCCTCAAACATCCAGTGGAGCTCTAGAAGTCACTGAAGTTTGCAAAACACAAGGAATCTCCACCACGTTTAAACACAAGCTTAAGATCTGGACAGCTCAGGGTAGTAGTATTTTTATAGCTACAACAAAGTGGAGTTCCACATTAAATAAGTAACGCCGTTGTTAGCAAAACCTAAGATTCTCTGAAGGCTCATTTGTAGCAGAAATCAATTGCTAGAAAATATTTCTACTTTAAATGTCACAAACCTGCTCCTGGAGTTGCGCTTTGTACTTCTCAGCTTCTTCAATGCAGATACTTTGGAGTTTCTCACATTCTGCAGTGTAAAACTGTTTAAGCCTTTCCTCCAGCTCAGCTAAATCATTGTGATGTTGCTGGTTTAACTTCTGCAAAAATCCTTCATAAACAACTCGTAGCTCATTCCTGTCTCTTTCCAATTTCTCACAAGCTGCAGAAGTGGTTACTGAAGATGTCAAAAGAAAAAAAGTAACTGGATCAAGTTTAATGCTAATGTCACCATCTTCATCACAAGTATTAAAGACAGTGAGAACTCTGCACTGCAACACAGTTATACAAAGACAGCTATAATTTATCCATGAAGTGAGCACCACCTCCAAGGACATATGAAAAGATCTTTGCAAAAATATCAAATTCAGTGTTTCTTGTGGTAACAATTAATTGGATCTAGTTAAGCCAGGAACCCATACAGAAGGCATAAGTTTGACAGTTTGTCATGACAATGAAAAATGAATGTCTCACAAGAGACACTGGAGTGCTCCAATAAAAGATTTAATTGCATTTGCTGCTTCACCTAATTCAATCCCATTTCAGTAGCCTATTTGTCAGAGTACTTCACTTTTTGATATATAAACCACTTGGCTAAATTTGAAAGTCTTAATATCCTGAAGACCATCCATTCAACATCAGTCATGCTTGGATATGCAGCAGAGAAGCAATTCTAGCCTGACGTGGATGGACTGCCCAATACAGAGCGACACAGAACCTCCAGTCTGAAATGTACTACTAATATTCATATGCCCAAGATTATTTAAATATGCAAGATACAGAATACTTTCAGGCAGAAAGTGCAGAGTATTAAGAAAACAGAAAGAAATGCTGTGTAATTCTCTTTACGTTTATATTACCACAATGTAAGAAGACTGCCTAGGTTTGACTCCCTGTATTTACAGCTGATTAAAAGGCAAAACAGAAGTTAGTAACTTGTACTTTTGAGTTTGAAATTTAGCGTTCCCAATGCCAGCCAGTCAGGCCTGAGCAGAAGTCATTTTCCCACTGTTAGCATGGCTGGAGCAAGTGCCTTGTGCAGTTGCATCTGCACACAAAGCCTGGAAGCAAGGTGAAACAGGGCCTCTAACACATGCCTGTGGTCACTGACCTTAATCAAAACTGCTTCTATACAGACTCTGGTGCTTTGGTTTAAAATAATTAGTTAGATGAGAGTCTACTTAAGAGAAAAATCAACTACAATGTTAACTTGAATATAATATGGAAGAAGTCATGCATACCTACACTTTATAGCAGCTTGGAACACTGCCCAAACAGTATAAATATTAACTCTACATAAAAGCATAGAAAGATTCAAGGATTTCTGTACAGGCAGTGCAGAAAATTCTCACCACAGTTGTGTTTGAGCCTTAAGTTACATAAATTACAGTATCTTCATGGACCCAAAGCAGTACTGGGCTTGGCTCTAGGGACAGCAGCCTGCTCCAGCGGAGTGTCTCAAGTTACGCATGTGTCAGATTCCCTCTTTGCTACAGCTCAGCAAGAGCAAGCGAGTAACTGGATGAATGATCTTGCACTCATAAGGAAACTGTAAAGAAGTCTTGGCCCTGCTGCCATCATTTGGAACCTGCAGTTGAACTAGAAAGTATAAGAGAATGAGCTACACTACATGGAAATCAGTCTGCATGTGTGTCTACATAAATTAGTTTTAACAGCAGGCTTAGCTCTACACTAGGTCAGTGTGAAAGATCTGCTGATCAGGACAGATTTAAGCCAAGCTGTTCATCCTGTGACTGGCAACGATGCAACTAAAGGCTCAAATGAAACATACCACAACATTCTCGGCAACCCAAGCAGATTTCACAGATTCCTATAGTTTCTATATCACCACCAAGAAAGACACTTATTTCCCTATCTGTATTTCTTCCACAAACTTCTATAATAACTCTTCTCCTTGGGAGAAAAAAAAAAAAAATGGCATTCACACATCACATTGGTGTAATGTTATTGAATACATATGCTTGTATTGTAACATTTTGGGGGAAAAGGAAACATCATAGGTAGGGGACATTATTTTATAATGCAAAGAACAAAGAACCAGGCAGTGAGCCAAATGGAGATGTTACACAGCCAGCCACACGCAGAATGGATCTGACCATCTATAGCAGAGTCAAGGGGTATAGCTGAGAGGCAGGCAACTCACATGCCTCATTTGAGATAACTGTAGCAAAATGCTTCAAATGATCCACTTCCTTTAATCCTTTAAATCCAACAGACAAAGAAGTGTGCATTTTAGCTTGGAAAAGAGGAGACTGAGGGGTGACCTAATCAATGTTTATAAATATGTAAAGGGTGAGTGTCAGGAGGATGGAGCCAGGCTCTTCTCTGTGACATCCAGTGATAGGACAAGGGGCAATGGGTTCAAGCTGGAACATAGGAGGTTCCACTTGAATATGAGAAAAAACTTCTTCATGGTGAGGGTAACAGAGCACTGGAACAGGCTGCCCAGAGAGGCTGTGGAGTCTCCTTCTTTGGAGACATTCAAAGCCCACCTGGATGCGTTCCTGTGTGATCAGATCTAGGTGTTCCTGCTCCGGCAGGGGGATTGGACTAGATGATCTTTCGAGGTCCCTTCCAATCTCTAACATTCTGTGATTCTGTGATCCAATTCTTTATTTGTAAGGCCAGAGCCATTTGTTTGCCTCCATTTAGCTAAAAGAATGTGCTGCCTATCATTGTCTTATCTTTGAAGTGTCAGCATGCAGAACTTCAGATGATGCAAAACACTTCAGAATAAAAGCAAATAGCAAACCACGCCTTTGTCAAAGCAAAGAGACACGAGTTCTTGTTCAGCCAGTTTGCAATTCAGATTTATGAGAAGACTAATGTTACAAACGCAAACAAAATCTTTTAAAACTTGCATTGGCAGTTGAACGTTGTGTTACCTTGAAGGTAACATCTGGCACCTGCAAAGCTGGAACCTGCTATGCTTCCTTGCAGATCACAAGCTTGTCTGGAATCCTTGCCATCCAAACAAGGAGCAGAACCACAACACTATCAGTGAGCTCCCAATATGAAGCTGATGCAAGAAACCGCACATGTGAAGAAGTTTCAGCAAAAGCACTGACTGAAGAATTGTTGATTTGAAATTATGAGAAGTCCTGTAAACAAAAGTTTGTCCCCATACTTTAAATTCAAGCATCTCCAGCAAGTATTTTGCAGGGCCCTATCCATCTCCAGACTGCATAATCTAATTTATAACTGTATACTGCCTTGTTTTAAGACAGGGACAAGCCATGAAAAAGGAGTTAATTTCTCACTTTGGCCACTCCTCCACTGCTAGGGGATCCTGCAAAACTGACTACCCAAACCTCATGGCTACTCAGTTTTTCTCATACAACTGGTGCTTAATTTTGAAGAAAAAAATTTCTACCTAGAACGTGTCCTATTCCAGTAGCACACACAAAATCTCTATTTTGACTTCTCATCCACTTCTGAGACACTTGGAGGGCATGCTGTAGAGTTTTTGTACTAATGTGCTTCCTTTCCCTTCTTAAAGCGCTTCCCCCCACAATTCCACATCATCATAGAGCATATGGAATGGTGCACTTGGCAGCCAGAAGCATGATTTACTTCTTCATTCAAATAGCAAGGCCATTAATATTTTCCCCCCACTTGGTTGTCCCAGCCGCTCCTCCCAATCATACAACAGTGTGTCTCCCTGTATTACAACAGGGAACAAGATTAATCTGTATTTTTAGGCTTCTTAACACCTGTTTATTATAAACTACAAGCCTGGTTCTTTTGGGCAGAGCCATGACCATGGCAGTCACAGGGAGTTTCTGAGTCTTGGTAACAGCTTATCTTCAGATCAGAAACTCTGTTTTTGACATATAAAATTAACATTCATATGTAGTTGCTAACAACAGCAACTTTCATCTTGGGTGTTTCATTGAAAAGTTTTTTGTGTGCCAGAACCATAAAAGAAATGCCTGCAAAGGAGAACCAGGCACGTGGCAGCCCCCTGCCATACTGCAAATGGCAGCGGATCCAGACCACATGAACAGTAGCAGCAGCTGAAGGAAAGGACTACAAAAGTTGCCTTAGGTTCCCCAAGACATCTATTTCATATTTTCAGTAAAAGTAGTCAAGAGATAAGACCTTACAATTGTTCAATACTCCTTCTTACAAACGGGTTTTTTTTCTTATTCTAGTTATAAAACAATTTGTCATTCAATTCAGGCCTTATGGCTGAAATGCTTACATGAAAATATTTTTCAACTTACCTTCCCCTAAAAGTCACCAGAACCACAGCTTTAAGAAGATAAAACATAATGGGTTTTTTTGAACCCTAAATTAAATTGTTTTGAAAGATAAGTTATCTTCATAAGTCACGCACAGGTCTAGTTATGATTTATGAAGAGCCATTAGACTAACTGACATTTTGAAACATAGGTCACTGGGACAGTAAACTAGCAGCATTTTAATAAATGCGGGGGATGTGAAGGGGGATAATTACCAGAAAACATCGAGTATGTAGCATGGTGTCAGGTCATAGTGCATAACACTTTATCGCTCTAACTTTACATTTCACATTGCAAGATCTATTGTATATGTTCTGTTGATCAGTAAGTCTGCTGTAGACACAAAGACTCATTTTCTTCTCCATATAATTTTTTTTTTTAAATCACTAAATTAATCACTAATTAATTAATTCTGAACACTGAAAATTCTTCTAACCAAACACACTTTCAAGTTTATGACCAAGTTTCTTTTGGTGTTAGTTCTATAAGGAGACTAATTGTACAGAATGTTAAGCCACATTTCATATTTTTGTTCTTGGGCAAGTTGAAACGAGGTAGGTAGACCAAACCAGCATGCTTCAAGGTACATTTAAGTGGATATGGTTGAATACATATGTGAAGCATTCAGATACCTGCCAGGACATAAGTTCCTACCCTCTGACGCTGCAAACACTACAGTGTCAGCAGACAGGCAAGCGTACAGCTCGTGGCAAATTAGGCACTGCCCCAAATAATTGACAGAAATGTCTACCTGCTAGTGAGTATTTTTAAGGATCACTAAAATGTGAAAAGCAAGGTCAATCACTCCATCCATCTGTAAAACACAGTAGTCTCTTTTATCCCAACCTCCAAAACCTTTTAAAGGTAATTTCTTAATAAAAAATAGCATGTTGGCATTTCGAAGAAAATATTGTTTATCAACTGCAATGCAGCAAATGGAGCGGAGAAAGAGCGGTCAGGCATTTGGCCGTACGGGACATATGGAAGCCATGGAAAAGGGCTCACGAATGGCTATTTTCAAAGGGCCAAGGCAGGCTGTTTTCAAGGGCAGGCTGAGCCAGCTCCGCATCTGCTGTTTTGCTGCAGGACTGAGCTAGATCACGTCCAGCACAGTTGCCAAGAGGCTCCGAACCAGTTTGGGGCGCTATTAATTTAGAGGAGTAGTTTTGTACCTCTGAAGAAATATGCAGCTCTTGTGATTTTTTTACTTGCATAACTGAACAGGTAACTAGAAATAATTTACACACCAGCTTGTGTCTTAATAAGAAGGGAAGCAGATGACAAACAGGACATCCGTACCTGCTCCAAGCTCCCAGAACATTCAAACCACAAAGCTTAGTCTTTGTGGCTGGAGACTTTAAGGATCCCCAAGTTCAGAACCCAACTGTTAATTAATTCGAACTCCTTTGGAAAAGTCCATCCCCAGACACCTCATCATTCCTAACCCTTGCACACATTTCTAGCTACCGCGAGCAGAAAGCAGCATGTGGTAACCACCCACCCCATGCTCTGCACAGCCACAAGCACGTTTTGGGATCATAACGCACATTTAAATCATTGAACAAAAAGGTACTCTGGTAGAAAGGGTCATACAGAATAACCCAGCAAAATGGACAATTTGACAGCAAGCCAATGTGGTTTTACAAGGTAAATCAAGGAGCCTGGGAGCATGCAGAGTTAAACTTTAAAGCAAGAAACTGAGGAGCCCAAACTGTGCAGGGTGCGAGCTGCAGACTTCACGTTCCTCTCCAACTCGGCAACGTGCAAGGCACAGACTACACCAAGCTGGGCACACCTGTTGCCTCTTCCAAGGCTGCCTGTTCCCAAACTGCAAGCCAACATGCATTAAAAACACAGCAGCTGTGACTCCACGAAACATGTACACACATCCACATGGCCAGAATAAGATACAAACCGTACTCAGCTTTCTAAGCCAATCTGTACCTAGATCATACTGTGAATCAAAATTCACAGTACTTAGGTCAAAATAGCCTCTGGAAATCCCAAGTTCAGCTATACCCATTTAACAGTGGCAAGAGAAAGCTGATTAGCAGGTGTGTATTTAAACAGATTATTTTCAGCTAAAGCTATCGTTACAAGAATGCTTTCCTCACACCTTGTCAACAAATAAGGTCTGTCTGGCTTAATTGATTTAATTTTTAAACTTTTTTTAAAAACAAATATTTTTAAAGCTAGATAGAACTGAAGAGCTGTGTAGTTTTTAATTTGTGATAAAATCCACTCCCTTTACATGCTGAGAAGAGAAGTACAGACAGGCTAGACATGTGATGTGGTTAAGACAAAGGAGCTGCATGATGATAAATGCTTCACTGAAAGCACAGTCTGTAAACCTTACAAAGGGGAGCGAGCCCGAGGCTGTCATTTGGATGCTCCTGCAGAGCTGCCCCAGTAAGATGAGCCCCATGAGGGGAAGGGCTGACAACCTTGCCCAGCAGCATGCTGGCCAGCATCTCCGGCTGACAGCTCTGGGCACTCGGGCATCACAGATCCTGCAATCTCAGTTGCATTTGAAGTTTTTTCTAGTTATCACTCTACTGAATGGCATATTCTTGCAACAGCAGTTCCACATATGAGTCCAGCAGACTGTTAATCAAAGCAGGAAGGTAACAAGTTCATGAGAAGCTCATTTAAGAATGAGGCACCCTCAGAAAGAACTAATCTTTAAAAAAAAAAACAAAACCCCAAAAAACAAACAAAAAACCCCAAAAAACCAAAACACACCCAAAAAGTGGTAATGGGCAAAAGTGCTGGCTAGCTTTTGGTCTGCCCATCTAAGCTGAATTTTCCCTTTCCTGATAAGTGACAAACATAGTACCTAGGCTAACGAAGGGAAAATAATATTGAAGAAGCAAGCACACAGAAGAATAGAGACTTTCTTGCTCTGACGGCAATCCTTCTGAAGTAATTTTCACAAGATAAAACAATGGGTTTGCACAGAAAGTCACACATATGTACATAAAAAAATAAATCTAGTTTCTAATGTTTGTAACACAACTTTGTAGGAATGCGATAAGCTTGTTTCCACACTAAGACTCTGGTTTTGTCATTGTCACTTTAGGGTGACAGAATTGCCACCTGCAGCTGATGGGGGTCACAACCCTCTGCCTTGCTGCTCCTTCCCCTTTCCCTGTTCCAGCACCAGTGCTCCTTCAGCCCCATGATGTGCCAGGCTAGGCAGCTTTGGCAAAACAGCACTTCAAGGCACTAGTTTTCAGCTGATTTAGGTGCCCGGGCAGCAGTGCTGGCACAAGGCAGGGCAGAGTGACACAAAGCCAGCCCCTACCAAGACCTACCTGAAACAACTGCAAAACTGCAGTCCAGGTTCTTCATCAGTAGCAAGGTTAAAAGATGTGGCTTGACAAATGCCAGACTGCACCAAGCTCTAGAAAAGCCTCAGCTTTTTAGTACTAAGGTTCCAAGAAAGAAAATGCTATGCATTTCTGCAGCATCTTTGGTACTCTCATCTATTTAGGCTGCAAGGCTCTCTCTGCTTGTGATACTCCCCATTCACACATTTGCAATTTTATGCTGCAACAAATAAAGCTCCCGGAAAGCTTCATTTTACACATAACCCTCTAAATTGGACAACAGTGATAGTGACAAGTGGAGAAGCTGTGCTCGGCTGCTTCAGCTGGGGGAACGAGGAGACTCCTCCCTCCCCACCACACTTCCAACTCTGAGTAGTTGCCAAGGAATACCTGCTTTATCCATCAGCACTAAAAAAAATCTGAACATTAAACACACCACCTGCACGTACCAAGACCTACATTCACACTTAAGTTTGTCTGAGACAATACTCAGCTTCCAAAGCACGTGAAAATAAACATTTACAGCTTTTCAATCATAAGTAATGTCAATAATAAGTGATGTATCTGAAACTGTTCCACACTGCTCTGCTTTCAAAGCTTTTTGCTTTTCTTTTTTAAAGGGGCTTCATTATAAAACAAGTGTGCTTTTATAAACTGCAAGCTTCACTTTCAAGTGTTATCATTTTCAGTCCAATAAATTTTGTACTCCACAAGATGATTCTGCTTTGAGTTCAAATAAATTATATGAAGTTACCATTAAATGCAGTTAAATCAAGCTTCAAAGTTGGCAAAACCAGCCCTGACACGTTATGGCTCAGTCTCCTATTACAGCTGTCCACTAGGATGAGTTCAAAGATTTAATCTCATTAGCATGATAGCATTTCCTTCTGTTAATTTTACACTCATTCACCTACAAGCCACAAAGACAAAATGCAGATTTTGCAGTGTAATGCACAGGTTTATGGATTTTCCCCAGCAAATCTCTAGAAAACAGCGTACAAATAAGTTAGGGATCAAGCAGAGGTATATATGCTGTCAGCCATCCTCCTATTTTTAAGAAAGGGAGTGCTTTGGTCATCAGACACATGTTTTGTGAGGAGGCCCCACTAGGAGCTGTCAGATAAGTGCCAGGAAACCTGGGGTCATGCTGTCAGTGCTCCAGAGAAACACAGTGAGTAAAGCATCTGCGCAGAATTCAGTCAGGGAATTAAATGACTGCCATTACAATACCAGGGCATCTGTCTTTCTCCAGATCTGTTTTGCTGTATTTCTGTTCTCATGAAGAAGGTAAAAATAAATTCTTACCTAGTTCTCCTCGAAGGTTGACTAGTTCTTGAGATAACTCTTTATGCTGCTTTAGTGCTTCTTCCCTCTGCAGAGAAAAAAAAAAAAAAAACCAAACACAAAAAAAACCCCAAAAAAACAAAAACAAAACAAACAAACCCAAACATTTGGTTACTAGTGATCTGAGCAGGGCACCTTCCAATAATTAACTTACATGTGTTCTGTAGGAAAACAAGAGGCAGGAGCCAAGATATGAATCATTTAGGATAACAGTTCTGCTGTTACAAAATACACAGATGTTCTGTTGTTAAGGAAGTTATACTTTAAAACAAAGAACAGCTTTTTCCAGGATAACACTGCAATTAAAATCCTACTTTGCAGCAATTAATTATATATTTTATGATGGGTGTAGCAACATAAGCCTCCAGAACAAATCAACTGATAGCTGTCAAGGGCACAAAAGTATGGTGTATATATATGAAAGAGGCATACATTAAATATTTATCTTAAGCTTATTCAAACACAAAACCAAAAACTTTCCTAAATGCTCAGTCTTCTGCGAAGGCACAGCACTGTTCAACATTGAACACAACCCACCCCACTGCTCGCAGTTCTTCATTTTAAGATAGATGACATTTCTTTGACTGAGAAAGCCATAACAAATAGGTGCTCAAAACAAGCAGAAGCACCCATCTCCCTGCTTTGTCTAGGAGCTGCGCCTGGGCCAGGGGAAGGCAGCCGGGCAGGCCCCTGTGCCCTCAGACCCGCACCCCAGGGAGAAGCGCAGGCACAGCCGCAGCAGAGCTGCTCCACGGCTCAGCGACCAGCACCTCGCACGCACGGCACAGAGGTGACAAGGTCCAGGTTCCCACTGCCAGGGTGCTTTCACACCTTGCTCATGGCCAAGCTCCTGTCCAGCTCCCAGCTGTTGGAAAAGCGCTGTGAAACAAATAATTACCCTTGCTGCAGCACACTGAGAATAGAGGCACAGTTTGCTGCTGGAGCAGCCCATCTTCCAAGCTCCGGCAGCCCCCCGCTTGGCCCCCCAGCACTCATAGGTGAAGCCAGCCCAGCTGGTCCGGCCACGGCAGAGCGGCAACGCTGGACCTTGCCTCTGCAGGTTATCCTACTTCCGCGCCGATCACTCCCAACAGCGGCAGATACTGCAGCTTCTGCAATTGGCACAAGCAGCCAGCGATTACTTAAAGCCACAGCCCTTCTTTTATGAAAGGCAAGCCTCAGACATTAGACCGATCGATCTCCGCTTGCTCAAACGGCAGCCGGGACCGCAAAAGGGAATGCTGCCCTGCTCTGCAGATAATGGACCTTATTTTTAGCTGTTCTGAGCTTGTTATATGCTGCTTTCACACTTAATTTGTTGATGCAAAAATAAGCCATGGGAGGCCTGAGCTGAACAGGAGAGCCACAGATACAGCAGCTTTACTGCTGCCAGTGCCCAGGCGTGTGTTCATTGCCCCTGCGCACGCAGAGACCTTGAAATTCTCTTGCATGCCACTCCTTCAGCTAAGACACGTTAGAGGAAAAAAATATAATAATGCATTGGCCCCAAAATCACTTAGACTTTTTCCATTAGCTAATATACAACTGACCCCGGTAGATGAGTTCGCACACTGGCACAGCCACACCTTCACCTGGTTTTCTCCATGGAAAACTTCACCTTTACAGCAGGTTCCCCATCTGACCCGGTCACTCTCGCTGCAGCCTGACCCCAGGCTAACATCGGCACTCACTCACCAGGTCCCCTGGTTAAGAGCACCATGTCCTAGAGGAGGGGAATACTCCCTGCATGTCTGCAGAACAAATAAAGCAGTACAATACAGTGTTCTTCAGAAAAAACGGAAAGAATAAGCACCCAAAAAACAGCCATGTATTAAGGTCTGATGCAAGACTAATCAAAAATAATTATTTTTATGTTATGCAGTCTCATCTGCTGCAAGTTATAGGAAATTATTCTGCATCTGAAAAACCTGGTTAGAAGAAAGGGCCAGCCCTTTACTAGAAATATTTGTATTTTTTGACCTTGTATAGGAAATATCTCTTTTTAGTCACTACAGTTTAAGCAGTTTTAACACTTATTTGGACACTGACACACTGGTAGAGGTATTAAGTAGCTGTGTAGCAGTTTTACATTAAGCACTTAGAAGCTTTTTACAGTAACAGTGGGCTAAGATTGAAAACCATGCCTCACCCTCTGCGGTAAATTCTCAGGAGAGCCGAGAGCTGTTACTGAGAGGACTCACCCTGCTCTCCCCTGGTCAGGAAGGAGAGATGAGTCATCTTGCTCCTGTTCAACACCAGTTCCCACTACAGACACAGCATCTGATGATGAAAATGTGAATGCTGCAGTGAGTTATCTGAGCTGCATCCTAGCATGCTGGGACACAACCATGTACTGGATTTGCAATCAAGTTAACTACCCAAAAACTTTTATTTTCAGGTTGCAGGCTCCCAATGGGATTTTCCAATGCTTTTAGAGTAACCCTGTCCATTAATAAATTAGTGTACAAACACACTTAGGAGATTTATTTTTTGTTAAATGAACCCCCTCCCCTTGGTTTATGTATTCATTCTTTATTCTAATTATCAAAAATTCATCCTTGAACCTGATTTCTTCCAGCCCACTCTTAGTGAAACATCTCAAATTTTGCCCCCTCAGCCTAGTGGCTGGACCACGCTGCAGACCCTTTGGAAACACTAACATTTTTGGTTAGTGTTTCCAAAAGGCCTGCTTCGTGGTCTACACATTTTGTATTTGTATTTAGTTAAAGCAATTTGATGAGAAAAGGGCATATGAGATCAGAATATACTAAGGATCAACAGAGGCCGAGACTAAAAATGCAAAATAAAATATAATAACACTGCCTTACTGTTTTTTAAATGTTTCTTGCTTTCTGCTGCTCTAAAGCCCTTTTGCTTTTTACTTGTACCCTTTAACCTTCTGCCTCAACCTCCAGCTTGTCCGCTCATAGTTTCCCAAATGAAGAAATCCAGACAGACTTGTATCATCAACCACTATTAAAGAAAAAGCTACCCATAGAGACTGCCAGCGTAAAAAAAAAAAAGAACAATAAGCGCCTCTACGCAAACACATATAGCATGGGGAACAAAAAAGAGGAGTTAGACATGTGCGCACATCTGGAAGATGTGCGGGTAATCTTCTTGGCGTTGTGGAGACCTGGTGGGATTGCTCCTGCAACTGGAGTGTTGGACTGGAGCAATAAAGGGTCTTCAGGAAGGACAGGCAGGGGAGACGAGGAGGGAGTGTTGTCCTCTATGTCAAAGACCAGCTGGAGTGCATGGAGCTCCACCTGGGGTTAGATGAGGAGCCAACAGAGAGCTTGTGGGTCAGGATTAAAGGGAGGGCAGGGACAGGGGACATTGTAGTGGGGGTCTGCTACAGGCCACCTGACCCAGAAGACCCAGTGGATGAGGCCCTCTACAGACAGATAGGAGCAGCCTCATGCTCCTCATGGGGTACTTCAACCACACCAATATCTGTTGGAGGGACAACACAGCAGGGCATAAGCAAGCCAGGAAGTTCCTAGAATGTGTTGATAACTTCCTTCTTCAAGTGATAGAGGAGCCAACGAGGAGAGGTGCTATGCTTTACCTTGTTCTCACCAACAAGGAGGGGCTGGCGGGGAATGTGAAGCTCAAGCACAGCCTGGGCTGCAGTGACCATGAGATGGTGGAGTTCAAGATCCTCAGGGCAGTGAGGAGGGTGCACAGCAAACTCACTGCCCTGGACTTCAGAAGAGCAGCCTTTGGCCTCTTCAGGGATCTGCTTGGTAGAGTCCCATGGGATAAAGCCCTGGAGGGAAGAGGGGCCCAAGAAAGCTGGTTAATGTTCAAGGACCACCTCTTCCAAGCTCAGGAGTGATGCATTTCAGCAAGGAAGAAGTCAGGCAAAAAGGCCAGGAGGCCTGCATGGATAAACAAAGATCTCCTGGATAAACTCAAATAAAAAAAGGAAGCCTACACAGGGTGGAAACAAGGACAGGTAGCCTGGGGGGAATACAGAGAAATTGTCTGAGCAGCCAGGAATCAGGTTAAGAACGATAAAGCCCTGACAGAATTAAATCTGGACAGGGACGTCAAGGGCAACAAGAAAAGCTTCCATAGGTATGCTGGGGATAAAAGGAAGACTAGGGAAAACGTAGGCCCTCTCCAGAAAGAAACGGGAGACCTGGTTACCTGGGATATGAAGAAGGCTGAGGTACTCAGGGACTTTTTTGCCTCAAGTCTTCACCAGCAAGTGCTCAAGTCACACTGCCCAAATCACAGAAGGCAAAGGCAGGAACTGGAAGAATGAAGAACTGCCCACCGTAGGAGAAGATCAGGTTCGAGGCCATCTAAGGAACCTGAAGGTGCACAAGTCCATGGGACCTGATGAGATGCATCCACAGGTCCTGAAGGAACTGTTGGTTCAAGTTGCTAAGCTGCTATCCATTATATTTGGGAAGTCGTGGCACTCTGATGAAGTTCCTGCTCACTGGAAAAAGGGAAATATACCCCTCATTTTTAAAAAGGGAAATAAGAAAGGGAACTACAGGCCAGTCAGTCTCACCTCTGTGCCCAGCAAGATCATGGAGCAAATCCTCCTGGAAAATATGCTAAGGCACTTGTAAAATAAGGAGGCAATTGGTGACAGCCAACATGGCTTCACTAAGGCCAAAACATGCTTGACAAATTTGGTGGCCTTCTACAATGAGGTTACAGTGTTGGTGGATAAGGGAAGTGCCACTGACATCATCTACCTGGACTTGGGCAAAGCGTTTGCCACTATCCTGCACAACATCCTTGTCTCTAAGTTGGAGAGACATGGATTTGAGGGATGGACCACTCAGTGGATAAGGAATTGTCTGGATGGTCACACTCAAAGAGTTGTGGTCAATGGCTCAATGTCCAAGTGGAGACCGGTGACAAGTAGCATTCTGCAGAGGTCGTTATGGGGACTGGTGTTGTTTAACATCTTTGTTGGAGACATGGACAGTGGGATTGAGTGCACCCTCAGCAAGTTTCTGGATGACACCAAGCTGTGTGGTGCAGTTGACAAGCTGGAGGGAA